TCTAATAATCCTTTACGCTCTTATTCCTTTGCCTAAGCCCTTGTAACCTCTGGAACAAATCTCTATAGTAATGGCTCGGAATGAATTGCTGCCTCATCACACTCTTCATATCCGCCCATGAATTAATAGGTTTACCCATGTTTCTACGCCTATTCCTAACTAATTGGTCCCACCATATGCTGGCGTAATCGGTAAACTCTACGGCCGCTAATTTCACTTTCTTCTCTTTCGAGTAACTATGGATATCAAAACTTTTTCTACCTTTCTCTCCCACTCCAAATAAGCCTCCGGATCGTTCTTACCTTGAAAGGGTGGAATTTTCATCTTAATACTACCCAAGTTTTTATCTTCCCAAACCGAGTTCCTACCTCCTCTAAAGTATTTCCCACCGTTCTTTCTAACCTGCCCATCCACACTTATTATGGTCATCTCATCGTCACTGCACTCATTCTCACTATCGGTTACTATCCTATCATGAGCTCGCGTGGATGGTGCTTTCTTCTTAGTTTTCTTTTCCCCTTCTTCCATTCTTTCCATCCTACTCTCAAAACTACTCATAACATTCATCATATGTTCTAATTGTTGCTACATAGCTTTCATTGTGAAAGCTTCGAAATTCTCTGATCCTTTCGCAATGTGCTTTTCAAGATTTTCCATGAAGGTCATGTACCTATAGAAAATGTTAGAAAATTCCTCACAAACACTCCCTTACGTGTTTACACTCAATTATTCAAGCCACTTACACTCGCATTTAGAACACTCTTTTGAATCTCACGATTTGATTTTTTTTTTTCTTTTACAACGAAAGGCAAGAATTATCAAATTTTCAGATGTGATGCCCGAAATCACCTACCAAGAATGCAAAAGACAGATCCAAATCAATCACGAAGACAGTAGAACACCTGAAATTCAAAGGAGTGTTCATGGCAATAAAAAAAAAAAAAAAAAAAATCAACACCAAGAATATGAAACAAACAAAACTTCAATCAAGATTGAATCTTTAGGAGGACATCCGTAAGATTAGATTGTAACAAATCAGACCAAGATTTCAAGATTTGGCCGTGACTTTTTTTTTTTTTTTTTTAATATATAAAATCAAGATCTGAACATGACAGTAGATTCGATCGTATATGTTTGCAATTTTTTTTTTTTTTTTTTTAACTTGGCTGACTTTTGTTAAATCAAATACTGATTGTATTGAATTTAATTTGCAATCAATAAAGATGCTAACAGATCAATCAATTACAAATCAAGACCCAGACGAAATAACATGGATCAACAAGATCAAATTACGAAACACGGGATTAAATTCGAAGAACCTAATGACTTGAACTAAACTGAATCTAAACCTTAATTGGTGCACGATTGATCAAGATAGTCCCCAAGATGTTCAAATAACCAAGAAATCACACAAATTCAATAGTATGATGATCGGTTATTCAAGATATCAACAAGACTCAACCAAGACAAATTGAATACACGAACAAATAAAGACTCGAAAGAAACAAAAAAAAAAAAAAAAAAAAAAAAACAAAACAAAGAATCTGATTTGAACCTTGCTCTGATACCACTGAAACAAACTCCTTTGATTTGCGAAGAAATTACCTGCTGATCAAGTAGGTAAAGCTCTAGGAACATAGAATCGAAGAAAAACCACACCCGAACGAATCTATTGTTAGAACCTTGGTAAGATAATCTGAAACACCACAATCTTGATTTAATTGATAAGTTTTGTGGAAGAACGCCACAAGATTGATGATTCTTGATGATTCTAGAGATCAAGATGCAATCTTGAAAAGAATGAAATATTTAATTATTACTCCTTCCCTCCCCCCCAAAAAAAAAAAGTTTGTGGCCAAAACCGCCTATATTATATAACTAACTAATTAGTCAAATAAGGTTAACAACCGATTAATAGGTCTTAACCCTAATACCCTACCAAACCCAACTAATAAAAATATAAAACTTGGGCTTTAGTAATAAATAGCTTCAACCCATTACACCAAAAGTCTAAAATAATTAAAATAGCATCACATAAAATAACTTATTAACCCCATGAACAAGGCTTGGACGCCAACTTGGACCCAATTAGGGCTAGCAAGAATCGGTCTTTAATTCCTCAAACTTGGACTTGGGCTTCAATATTTCAACAATCTTTTTTGGATACTCTAAGGCATACTTGGCTTCATGCTTGCTTCCTTGGCTTCAAGTTCTTCATTACGCTTGACGAGACACGTTGCATCTTTTAACTCGACTCCGTTAATCGGCCCATCGATGTGAAGAGGATCTGTGTTCGCCTTTACGACAACAGGTTGCTCGGTCTTGTCCTTATCACTTTACCTCTATAAATCACTTAAATTTGGTTTGTGTCCTCTCTGTCTTGTGTATCAGAGTGTTGAGAATTTTGATGGTTTAATTGTCTGATTAGTCACTAGTAAAAGATTCAGCAACTTAAATGAATTCCTTTTTCCATTTGTTCATTTAATGAGAGCTCATGCATAAGGAAACAAATAACATCTTAGGAATCTTTAAAGCATTGAGACATAATTTTGTTTTTACAACTTATTAAGTAGAGGTGCATTTTATTCTTTATTGGCTTCATTTCCTGCAATGACTCTACGTGATAATATGTTTTCAGTTTACTACAGATTCAAAATTCTTCAACTTGAGATTTTCTTCGAGGGTTTATATAATTGAGTAATACTACAGCTACACCTTTCTCACAAACTTTCTTCTCACAACCCTGACGGGGCAGCTCACATTGGTCAGCGTAATTTTTAGGTGAGACCCATTACAAGCTGTCACGTCGGGGTGTGAAAGAAAGTTTGTGAGAAGAGTTTAGGTGTAGTATTACTATATATTTATTTTTAAACTATTCCTCAAGTTTTGATCACAGAAATAACAACTTTATAAAAAAAATATTGTCACAAACCAATGGAGTTATAAATTCTTGCACGTAAACTTGTTTCAAGATCATTAGCACTACAAAAAAAAAAATTATGTCTAAATTTTGATGCTGTTCATTGCATGCTACTAAATCAGAGAAAGCTAACATGTGCTTAATGCATTTTTGTTGTCTCTTGGCAAATTAACTGTCGAGTTTCCTAAACATTGTCAAGGGTGAAATGGAAGTGAAATTGCCTTTAGTTAAACTTGTAGATGAGGAGACATGATGTGATGCCTGGAAAATAGGTGGCTGACCAGAGACCTTATCAACGTACGTGTCAAAGCTTAGGTAAGTCCACAGCCATTCAGACGCAGTCACGTTGCACGATTGATGCAAGAGGACATGCTCCTGCCGTTGAGTGGTGTGCGCAGGCTGGTGAAAGGTTGGAGCGATTCCACCTGTCCAATCCCTGCAATAGTCGAGTAAATACACTCGGCAGAGATAACGGGACGCAGGAAGGATTTGCACGGGCAACTGACACACTCTCCGGATTTAGTAATCATTACCTCATTCATCCCACTATATAGGGTTCCTCTCCGTTTGTGGGATTGGCTAATTTCTCTTGGAATAGCATATATTCTCTCTTTCCTCTCTCTATGTATCTTTTGTAAATCAGTCGCTGAACGCGACCTGACTCAAATATATAAATACGATACCAGTGGACGTAGAATTCGCTTTCTTAAGTATCTGAACCACTTTAAACATTGTTCTTCTTCTTCCATTCAGTTCAATACTCCTATACACGTGTGTCTTCTAAGTCAGCTCACATTTCTCACATGCGTTAGTTGGTGTCAAAATCAGCATCAACAATGAATGATTTTCTTATTGTTCCCTTCACTTCTATAATTGCTTCTGTTTTAGCATCTATCTTGTTTATCCATTTGGTATGGCTGTTAAATTTATCAGCTTTTTGCCTCTCTATAAAAGGTAACAAGTTATGCACTAAATATAATAACTAAAAACTAGATTACCAGATTACACATCTATTATTCGGTAATAAGCAGAATAATTTTATATACCTCGTTTGGACTTGGTGTAATTCCTGCCATTGGTGTTTGATATCGTGGTTTGATATCGATTCATTCACTATAATTTTTACTTTTATATCTGCCCTTGCATTGTTCAGCACTGAATGTGGTCTATCTCCGCAAATAATGATGTCCCAAAAATAGAAACTTTCAAACTCTGTTTTTAATTTTCTTGCTTCTGTAACTTTCGATGAAGACAAATCTATAATATTCATGTGTTCTTTTAAATGTACTCTTATTCAGAATTTCTTGAATTATTCAATAGGAAAAGCATAATCTACCGTTGTAGTATGATCGTTTATCATCATATATTTGATCAAAATGTGCTAACAGTTGATCTACCAAAAAATATTTCCCCAGTAATTTTTTCTAGAAATGCATGACTGGTATATAACAGGAACTCATTGTTCCATTTGAAGGGGGCCTACTTCAAGTTAATGATTTATTTATGTGTTCAATCAAAATCATGCACAGAAAAATACCATGAAGTAGCTTATCCCTGCACCATCCATTAAATAACGCAACAATTTCCATCCACAAAAATAATTATATGTCAGAAGCTTCAACATTGATCTAGTTTAGTTCAGTTCTTCCTTGTAGATTCCCGTTTGTTCAGAATAGGATCTAATAAATCAGAAATTATCTTATTATAATATCATACAATCTGCAATATTTGTAAGAATTATGAAGATTTTCAGTTATGGAAGATTGCATAAGCAATTGTTAAGAAATAATTGTTGTGTACTAATCTTTTAATATGCCTGCGCTTGTTGTACAATTCTAGCTTGATAAAGCTTTTTTTTTTTTTTTCCCCAATTCTTTCTAGAAATGATTCGGAAATTATAGTGTCTTGGTGATCGTTTTTCTGGCGTGGGCATCAAGCTACCATTCCTCCACCCGAAAATCTGTGCGTCCCGGGCGGCCCTGCCATTACGGGACCAGAATAAAAAGCTAGGGATGGAAGCATTTAGCTTACAAGAGCTGGCTTGCCAAAACACTTGGCCAACATAAGATTATATTTTTCCATGTTTTGGCTCCAGCAGGCTGATGTAGTCATTGCAGAGAACCTCTGTCAGGTACCTCAATTCCTTACCTCTATTATTATTCAGAATAGTTATAATAACATGTAACGATAATTTGGTAAACTGTGAAAAAATGTTAATTTGATGATATGCAGCATATTTATCATTTCAGGAAGTTGTTGAGGAACTTGGGATATACATAGTGTCATTTGACAGACCAGGATATGGAGAGAGTGATCCGAATCCAAAGAGAACAATAAAGAGTTTGGCATTGGATACAGAAGAGCTTGCTGATCAGTTAGGACTTGGATCCAAGTTTTATGTTGTTGGATCTTCTATGGGAGGCCAAACAGTTTGGAGCTGCCTCAAGTACATCCCTTACAGGTAACAATAAGTCATTTCAATTTCAGAGAGTGGACTTTTTCAATGAAATAAATACATTTATGCTTGTTCTTTCTAAGCCTTTTGGCATTTAAATTAAGTTTTTGCCTTAACGATTATTAGAATTTTAATGTTACACTTTAACTTGAATTCAAATCTGTATTTGCATTTTGCTTTGAATCAGAATTGTTTAGAACAGGGTGCTGATCTTTCAATTTGGATTTTCCAATGGTTTCAGGCTTTCTGGAGCAACACTAATTGCTCCAGTTATCAACTACTGGTGGCCTGGATTTCCCAGAAACTTATCAACAAAAGCTTACAACCTGCAGTTAGCACAGGATCAATGGGCTCTTCGTGTTGCACATCACGCTCCATGGCTTACCTACTGGTGGAACACTCAGAAATTATTTCCTGCATCTGCTGTTGCAGCTCGTCACCCTCAGATTTTCTCTCCTCAAGATAGACATATTCTCCCTAAGCTTGCTGGGAGGAAAAGACACAAGGTACTAAATTTAATATGCAGTGAATCTTAAAGAAAGAAACTGATAATGGGTGTTAGTTTCTATATCTTTAAGTGTGGTTAAAGTAGTAGAAATTTAACATCTTGAGAATTCTATTTTTCCAGAAGTTTAAAACATGATGTTATTACTCAGATAGCCTTAAAAATTAATCAGAATTTTCTCATACTATTTGAAAAGGTTGTCTACCAGTTGATATGAGATTCTGGTACTGTACTTATTTTATGCAGTCACAAGTACTTCAGCAAGGAGTATTTGAGTCCAATCATCGAGACCTGATGATAGGATTTGGGAGATGGGAATTTGATCCGATGGATCTCCAGAACCCTTTTCCTAAGGGTGAAGGCACCGTTCACATATGGCATGGTGATGAAGATAGGCTGGTGCCAGTGATCCTTCAACGCTACATAGCGGAAAGACTTCCGTGGATTCAATATCATGAGTTACCAGGTTCTGGACACTTCTTTCCATATGTAGATGGGATAGGTGAATCTATCTTAAGGGCTCTTTTACTCGCTGAGGAAGGCTCATGTATTTCTTGCAAAGGAAGTAATTAACACTGCGGTGCTTGCTCTCCAGAAGGCACAAAGCAATTCATGGATGTTTTTTGCCTGCTGTGAAAGCATATATACAGTATCTTTTTATATAAATTATTTGCTATTCATATGACTGCTTGTATAAGTGATTCTAATTAGTATGACTTTTCTGATAACCCAACTGTTATTAGTACTAATAGAACAAACTCCAACCAAGAAATAATTAGTGTGCAGAAGATTCTATTAAGACCATTCTGTCAAGTTTAATTTAGTAAACTTTTCAATTTATCAACAGATTTCAAATTTTTTTTTTTCAAACTTCTGAGATTTTTCAAGAGGGTCTTAGTTAATTATCTTTTGATTTGTAATAACTACTTAAAGGGAAACTTGTTTCAGGATCTTTAGCACTGTAGAAAAAAAAAATTTTAGCTATAAATTGCTGCCCATTGCATTATGCAACTAATACAGAGAAACCTGACATGTGGCTTAATGCAGTTTTGATTGCACTTAATAGAAAGGTTGACCCAATTGCTTGAGAGGCTGCTTTAATTACTTGTATCCCAAATTCTGACACAGGAAAATGGTGCTTTGATATTGAAGGATAATATAAGATTGTTAGTTTTAGCTACATCATCCTCTTGAATAAGTATTTTTTATTACAATCCTCTTAATATTCCTGAACGTTAATCTTAAATTTTCCACCAAAACAATCCTAATTTTATTACAAGTCTAGTTCTAACTCTTAACTAAAATCCTATTCCTAAATGGACACTGGCTTCATTTCATTTGTTTCCTAAACCAACACAAACATTATTTTAATTTCTTTTCTAAATCTACATTAATTTCTGTTATGATCTGAGACCTATTATCAAACTAATTCTACCAATCAAACCAACCAAGAACACACACATATGAAATTAACAAGACATAAAGATTTTACCGTAGTTCACCTATCCAAGATTGGATAGACTATCCACATTGAGCTCTAGAATAGAGAGTCTCATTGCACTAATCAATCAAGCTTTTACAGATTACAAGAATATCACATCAATCGCTCTTTTATCACTAACCACCCAAATGCATCAAAGTAATTTCTATTCTAAGAGAAACCTATACTAGACTCTCTAACCTTGAAGGAAACTCAAACCTCACTGAATGATTCAACTGATCACTCAAAGAAATTACACGATTTGAGCCAAATGTGAAAAACCTTAGCAGAGCAAATTGTTGACAAAACAAAATGACAGTTCATCATTTTCAATCTGGCAATTCTAGTGTTTTTATATTGTTGACCAAGTGACTCAATGACAACCGTCAGATCAGATGAAGAAGCAACGCTCATGATTTGATCAAGCAAGAAACCAAAATGACAGCGTTTTTGTGCTTGATATTTAACAATCTCCACCATGAAGCCAAAAACCACCAGTAATACAGAGTCTCTATTAGTGCAACAAACCATCCATCTATTCCTTCTCAGCTCCATTAATACTGCTTACCTTATAAACAATAAGTTTAAGCAATGCTTGAACTTAGTAGCAGTCACAACTTTAGTCCCCATGTCAGTTGGATTATCTCAGTCGATACCTTCTTTAGATTAATTTCTCCTCTTGTAATTAAATCTTTGACAAAGTGAAACCTTACATCTACATGTTTGGTTCTCTCATGGTAAACATGATTTTTGCTCAAGTGTATGACACTTTGACTGTCATAGTATATTGTCACCAAACCATCCACTAATTTGGCTTTTCTCAAAATCCCTTGAAGCCACGCTGCTTCCTTGAAGGCATCAGTCACGGCCACATATTCTGCCTCTGTTGTAGATAGTGCCACCAGCGGTTGAAGTTAAGACTTTCAACTAACACAGTTTCCTCCCAATGTAAAAAAGTAGGATATGGTGGACTTCCTTATATCCTTGTCTCCTGCACAATCAGAGTCTACAAAACCCACAATATCAAATGCATCACCTCTTTTAAAATAATCCAAACCAATATGTAAGGAGCTATTAATATACCTTAATAACCATTTCAATGCAATCCAATGCTTAATTCCAAGATTAGACATGAATCAGCTCAATAAAGAAATTGCAAATGATAGGTCTGGTCTAGTACTAATCATGACATACATGACTAGGCCTATTCCATTAGAATAAGGTATATTCTCCATTTTAATCATTTCAGTATTAGTTTTAGGACATTGCAATTTACTTAGAAAAAAATGACTGGCTAATGGTATATTAACTAGTTTAGAATCAGACATGCCAAACTTTGAAGCAAGTTTTTGTAAGTATGACTTTTGATGAATTTTAAGCTTATTAACCTTTATGCTTCTTTCTATCACCATTCCTAAGATTTTCTATGCATAGCCTAAGTCTTTCATATCAAATTCAGCATTCAATTTTGCCTTTAAATCATCTATTTTAGACTTAGACTTACTTATCAATAACATGTCATCAACATATAAAAGCAAATATATAGGCATGTTATCAGTAAATGCAAAATAGAAACATTAATTATCATATTTACTTCGAGTAAACCCAATACCAACAATAAAATAATCAAATCTTTTATACCACTGCCTAGGGGGATTGCTTAAGACCATACAATGATTTATGTAGCAAACACACATGATTAGGTAGATTTTTATCTTTAAATCCAGTAGGTTGACTCATAAAAATTTTCTCTTATAATTCACCATACAAAAAAGCAGTTCTCACATCTAATTGTTCTAATTCTAATTCATGGTGAGCAACAACAGATAACATTAATCTAATTGTTTTAAATTTAACCACAGGAGAGAAAATTTCATTGAAATCTATACCTTCTCTTTGTGTGTAACCTTTTGCTACTAATTAAGCCTTATATCTAGGAGGGTCAAGAGGAGTCATACCTTCCTTAAGCTTAAACAACCATCTGCACTCCACAAGTTTATGGTCTTTAGGTTTTTGAACCAATGACCAGGTATCATTCACCTTCAAGGAGTGCATTTCTTCTTCCATGGCAGCCAACCACTTCTTGTTGTCCTTTGAACTCATGACTTCTTCAAAAGTATCAGGTTCAGATCTCTGAACCTGAACCCCAGCAATCAAAGCAGTGTAAATCAAATCTGCATAACCATATCTAGCAGGAGGCCTAATTTCCCTCCCGACTCTATCTCTTTTCAACTGATACTGTGAAAGTTCATCATGTTGAGACCTCTCAACATTCTTTACTACTTCATCTTCAGCACCTTGGTCATTATCAACTGTCATTGGGATTAACTAGTTCAGTCTAGTGTCTTACTGGCTCCACCTCAATTCGTGTGGTGTTAGTTTGATTAGAGTCTAAAATATCACTACTGGAAGTGTCTGCATTACTGTTAGTAGATTTACATGGGAATTGATTTTCATTAAAAACAACATCCCTACTAACTATAATTCTCACCCCTTGTGCATCTTTTTCCCAAAGCCTATAACCTTTGGTTCCTTCTCGATACCCCAAGAATACACACCTAATAGACCTAGGCTCTAATTTTCCTTCATTTGTATGTGCATAGGCAGCACACCCAAACACCCTTAGATGGCTCAAATTAGGCTTCCTGTTTGACCATTTTTCTTTTGGACACTTAAAATATATGGCACTAGAGGGACTCATATTTACTAAATAGGTTGTAGTATTCAAAGCTTCTCCCCAAAAAGTTTTTGGTAATGCTGAAGTGAATAGAAGGCATCTATTTTTTTCTAGTAAAGTTATATTCATCCTCTCAGCCACACCATTTTGCTGAGGGGTTTTTCTAACAGTTATGTGCCTTAGAATTCCTTGGTCACTACAGTACTTGTCAAATTCAAAGTTGCAAAACTTTAGGCCATTATTAGTTCTAAAAGCCTTAACCCTCTTATCAGTTTGGTTTTCCACCAAAAGCTTCCAATTTTTAAACTTTGTTAAGGCCCCATCCTTAGACTTAAGAAGATAAACCCAAACCTTCCTACTAAAGTCATCTACAATGGACAGAAAATAATTATTTCCCCCATGTGACCTAACCTTTTTAGATCCCACACAAATCTACATGTAGATATTCAAGACAGTTAGTAGCAAGATGAGTTCCTTTTGTGAAACTCAATCTGTGTTGCTTACTGATAAGAGCTTGAAAGTATACATTTTATTAGTGATTCAATTGGATTATTTGTGGAAAAATGTGTTTAATTGTTGGAATTTGAATTTATTATTTCATAAATACGTTTTACGGGATCACGGGTATATTTTGAGTATTTTCAGGTTCAAACCGATATTTGAAGGAACAAGAATGATGTCGATGGAATTTGTGACAAGTGGGAACAAACGGTGCAAGAATCGGAGTTGAAACGAGAAAGTTGTGACTCGTCGAAACTATAACGTAAAATCTGGAAATCCTTTAAGATGAGCATGCTTCGATGTTTTGATCATAACTTGAGCTGTGGTAATTGGAAATTGACGATTCTGGTGGCGTTGGAAAGCTTATTCAAAGAGCTACAAAGTTCATGTTGATGACTTTACCAAATTCTGAAGTTCACGGACTTTGGGGACAGAAAGAACGATCGCCGCAGCGATCGTTTCTCATCGCCGCAGCGATGGGTCTCGGGCCTATTTGGGTTATTGCATTCTCCTAATCCGAATTTGAGTGGGTTAAGGATTTTAATTCTTTTCCTAAGTAACTTGAAAACCCTAGACTATAAATAAGGATTTTTAATTAGTTTTAAAGGGGATTTTGAAGAAGGAAAAAGGACGGCCACTACTTTGGAGATCGGAATTCTTGCGATTCTCGTTCACAAATTAGAGAAGTGTTTCTATTTTCCGTTCTTGAACTCATGTTATTCAATATAATGGTTGTTTTCATTACTGTATTTATGAACTAATTCTCTTTCTAGGGCTAAAGATGTAGCCCAATTTATGAATATGTGTTGACTTTATTGTTGTTAATTCTTATTGAGCATTAATTCTAAGTTTTATTATTGTGTGTAATGCTTTCAATTCTTAAGGATCCGAGAGTTGAATGATATCATGGGTTGG